ACTCTCCTGGCTGCGTTTTGTAATGGTCCCCGAGACGCCGAGACCCCCGCAGCTCGAGCTTCGAGACTATCACATGACCGAGGCTGAGGTACTCCGCCGTCTCCGCCGCGTCTCTAGCTGAGGAAGGGGCAAGAAGGCGCTGTGCCTCGCCCCCGCCCCTCCCCTGTCTCCATTCCGGCGCCCCCCAGCCCTCGTCTTCACCACCCACAGGGGAGCCCCCAGCCGAGGCAGGGCAGGGGCGGGGGCAGCCCGGGGTGGGGTGCGGTCACCACTGCTGCGCCCCACCCGGGCCACTACGCACGGTCGAGGGGAACAGAACACTATTTCTGGCTCCTCTTCTCTCCTGCACCCCCTGCTCTTTCTCTCCTCTCTTGTAACTTTCCTTTTTTTCTACCTATCCTCTCTGAACTCCTGTCTCTTCACATTTGGTTTCTCCTGGGCAGTCATTCTGGGTCAAGTTCGGAGCAGGAGCCCTCAAGGCCTCTCCTCTGTAAGAAGATGCCCAGAAGACTGGAGGGAAAAGAGGAAGAGCGCTTCCATCTGGGATAGAGGTGGGGCGTTCCATCAAGTGCCAAGTTCATTGCCATGGTACTGTGCTCCAGCTGTAGGTCAGGCCCAGTGATCCGTGCCAGGTACAGGGAGGCAAGGTGGACTAAGTAACCCAGAAATGAGGGTATATTCCAAGAGCTTGGTGGGTGGAACAGGCAGTTGGGCCGGGTGAGGTCTTTCTGTGGGTGGCGATTTCTTGAGCTGGTGCCAGGAGTTGAGGTCTCACGGGTTCCAACACCTGGGTGTGCCAGGAGTCTTTGCCCGTCTTCTTAGCTCGTGAATGGAAAGGAAGATCTTTCAAACGAAACGGGACGCCAAGATGATGACCCACAGGGCACTGATGCACTTTTCCAGGGACAGGTGGGTGAATCACAGGCGGTGGGGTCCCTCTGCCTGAGGTCCCCGTCCTGCACTCTCCCACACTCCCTGCTGCGAATCCCAACTTAAGGCAGCGAACCTGAAGTTACATCCTGGTTTTGGCTACCTTTGCCCTTAGGCTGGGGGAAGAGCAGAGCTGAGAAACGAATAAGCTCCCTTCCAGTCTCAGGCCTTGTTTTCATTATCTGTAAAAAGCGGTGTCTTAGGTTGGAAATTTCAAGGGTCCTTTCCAGTTCGGCAAGTTATAGCGAAAAGAGGACTTAGAGGCCGTGGCTCACTCTCTTTTAAATTTTTTTTCTTTTCCATGGCCAAACTTCGAAAGCAGAAGACTATCCACTCAGCTGTTTGGGAGGCTGTCCCTTACATGAAAATTTGGCCACACCAGGTCGGGTGTTTTCAGCTTCTGGCTGTCGGTGCGCTGCAGGCTGGAAGATCCCTTAAGGGACCTGTGTGCCGGAAAGGTCCCCTAGCTGGTCGGAAGAGTGAGGTGAACCAGGCAGAATTAAAATGTCCTTCTCTAGCCGGGAACTAGACTTCCGGCGAGCACCGTTTGCCCTAGGCCAGCAGACGTCTTAGTACGCGAGAGTTAAAGTGAACCATGCCAGAGGGCACTGCAGGAAAGAGCAATTTCTTGGCCTGCCCTAAGGAAAAGAAACCCTTTCGCAGGCGGTTGCTTTTGCTGTCACAACGTGACGGGAACGTTCCTCCCGCCAAAGGAATTTCTATGGGAGTTTTGGTCGTCCGAGGCAATTTAAGGATCGGAGCAGCTGACGGCCTCCGGCCTCCTGGCCTTGTGAAGTCATGGAGGGATCCCAAGGACGCCCAGAGTCAAAGTGACAGCCAGAGCCCGCTGGAGCCTGGTTGCCCCTTCTTCCTAGACTGAGACAATGTGAGGGCCGCCCAGGAGACGGGTATTTCTGGGCCATTGTAAGGCTGCAAGGAGAATTCTGCGCCGAGCACGTAAAGGTTCCGGCCCGACCCTGGCCGCACGAGCAGCTCAGGCACAGGGGTCTTCCGTAGATGCCTCACATGGGCCTCTCCTTTGAGGATACCTGAAACAGCAGCGCCTCCTTTTTGCAAGCAGCTCGGGACTATTTCCGTTGGACAAGTGGGCTCCGCGGCGTCTGAAGACGAAATGAGGGGAGGGGCGGCCTTCAAGGGCTCGCCGAGCAGGACTTCCCAGGGTAACACGAGCCCTGAACACTAACCCCGAGAGCCAGGCGCTCGCCGGGGAAGCTCGTTTACAGCTTGCAGACCCGCCGCCACCACGTCGGGTTTCGTGCCGGAGGACCCGGGGATCCGGGCGAGCGCTTTCGGCCTCGGCTTGCCAATAGCGTTCAGCCGAGCAAGCTCAGCGCCCTTTGGACTAAAACCAAGCGGAAAAGGCCGAGTAAAGCGCCTCGGAGCCTCACGCTTCGGCGTTCAGGGCGTACTTGGCAAGGACAGAAAGTGCTCCTTGCCAGTGAGACCCCAGCCGGTCCCAGCAGCTCAGCCCTCAAGAGTGCAGACCCACAGCACGGAGCGCGTGTTCGTTTTGGAGAGGGGGACGGCGGCCGCCGCCGCAGCGAATCCTGGGGGTTTTGAGCGAGTCGTAGGTGC